AAAGAGTTTTTGGAAAAAGCAAAAAGAAATTTTAGAAAGAAAATAACTTTAAAGAGAGAAATTGGTGTGGTGCATGCAATCAGCCGAGCTCAAGTAAGTACTCCCAAATTACCCATGCAAGTTTATGTGATGAATATCAGTTTCAGTTTCAGTTTCAGTTTCAGTAGAACAACATGCTAGTATAGGGACTAAGGATCAAGGAGGATGCCTCATGTGCCTGTTTTATGTGTTTCAGCTTTACAAGATTTGCATGCTAGTATTGAGTAGATAGTAGTAGGATAGTCTGTTTAGGTTATGCCTGATAGTATGAGCTTAGCATTGGATGCTAGTACAGTATCTCGTTATGAGAATAGATTTGCTTGAGTAGTTTCCTTTATCCGAATGTTGCTTGCTTTGTGCTTTGTAGGGACCAAGTCGAAGAATTTCACGACGGAACGTTAATTTCTTCAAGGATATAATATGTCGAGGTAAATGAAGCATCCGATGATTGAGGGCTGATTTGAGAAGTCAGGATGAGGGATTGCCAGTAGAACTAGGGATAGACAGGAAGTCCTCGAATTAGTGATGGGTAAGCAGTCAGATAGTAGTAGTAGTGTTGTAAGTCTGCGGGGGTAACCGTAGCATTCTCTAGCAGCCAGACAGTATTAGGGTGTTGTAAGTCTGCGGGTGTAGCCGTAGCATTCACCAGGTTAGTAGTCAGAATGAGCACGTTGTTTTGGATGCAAAGGGGGGGGGAGCAGTAGTACCCACCAGTTCGTGTGCAACAAAGAGCATATAGAAATCCACGGGTTGGATTTCGAATTCTCCAGAGTTTAGTCATAGTTGAGCCAGCCATGCGACAGATGGATCGTCAACACAGTCATGAGATCAGGGAAGCAGTGAACCTTTGGGATTCATGTATGTTAAGGACTACCATTAGCCTGGGATCCATCATTATAGTCTTGGATTTGTTGACGTTTGGACCCGGTCAGTTGAATCGGGAGGTCGTTAGGACCACAATAACAGGATGACTAGTGGAAATTAGTTCCAAAGAAAGGTTTCTTTCAGGCAGTCCAGTGTTTCAGGTAGTTCAGTGTTGCAGGTAGTCCAGTGTTTCAGGCAGTTCAGTGTTTCAGGCAGATCAGTGTTTCAGGCAGTTCAGTGTTGCAGGCAGTCCAGTGTTTCAGGTAGTTCAGTGTTGCAGGTAGTCCAGTGTTTCAGGCAGTTCAATGTTTCAGGCAGATCAGTGTTTCAGGCAGTTCAGTGTTGCAGGCAGTCCAGTGTTTCAGGCAGTTCAGTGTTTCAGGCAGATCAGTGTTTCAGGCAGTTCAGTGTTGCAGGCAGTCCAGTGTTTCAGGCAGTCCAGTGTTTCAGGCGGTTCAGTGTTTCAGATGTTTGCAGTATTTTTGGACAGTATAATTTTGTGTCAGACTGCAAGTTCAGCCTTATTAGTTGGACCTGGGTGGTCTCAGTTCATCCGGAAGCCAGATTTGGAATAGCAGAACTTTCAGTCGGTAGCAGTGCGAGTATGCAGCGTATGGTAGGTTTCAGTCTGTTGTTCGTGGGGTGCGCGACACCAAATGGTAGTAGAAAGAATGCCCAGTGGATACTGGCGACGATGACCCGTACTGGGAGTAGCGGGAGTAATAGATTTGGTGGAGACAGGGTCTTCATAGTGACGGAAGAGGTAGGTATTTATGGAGCATCGCCTTGGGAAGGCAAGGAAATTGTGCAAGGAAAGAAGGGGTGAACCCCTACGAGGTCAGTGTAGTATTTGGAGAGTATCAAAAAGATTGTCGGTTGAGTGAGTTGCGTTTCCAGAATGTTCAGGGTCAGGATGGACCCGAGATTATTATCGGTAAGGATTATCATTGGTCTGAATAACTGAGCGGAAGGCCAGCGAAGGTAGGCAGTTGGTGTTAGAATGAGCGGTTGGGTATTGGAGGCAGATCGCAGTCGGTGGATCGTAGCAAACTTCGAGGACGAAGTTTAGTTTAAGTGGGGGAGAGTTGTAACACCCAAAGTTCGAAAATCCAAGAAAAGAAAGAAAACCCCAATTTTAAGGGGAGACTCGGCGAGTCCAAGGAGGGACTCGGCGAGTCCGAGCGGGATCCGGGTCGAGGTGTAAGCGACCGACCCGGCGAGTCGATTTAGGTGACTCGGCGAGTCTGGTCTGGGCAAGGAAAACCCTAAATCCAGGACTTGGAGCTTATTTAAATGCCTCATTCTCTTCCCTAAGGCTCCTTTAGTGCCTCTATCACTCATAACAATAAACACTAGCCGCTATAATCGTTTTGGAGCAAGATCTAACCCTTGGTGAAGCTTTTTGGAGCTTGAGAGAGAGGATAGTCATTGTGGAGCAAGAAGGGGGCCTTGGATCCAGAGTTGGTGGAGTATTTCTGAGCATTTAAAGGTAATAAATCGTTACCTTCCCTCTTTTGTTTAATAGATCAACTTTGGCTATGAGATTTGGAGCTTTTATGCCATGCTTAAGAACTATTTTGAGTTTGAAGCCCAGATCTGAAGTTGCTACTTCAGATCTGAGTGTATCTTGGCCTAAAAAGTCATAAAGCATCTATTTTTAGGTTGATAGTGAAGCCTCTTTGTCTTAAACCCTAGTTTGGATTGTTTTAAGCCTAGATCTCTTGATCTACACGTAAAGTTTGCCACTTTACGTGAGGGATAGGCCCTAGAAGTATGGATCTATTAGTTGGAAGCCCTGTTTGGCTCGAAAAGCCACTGCATGGATTAAGGACTGAATAGACTCGGCGAGTCCTTTGAGGGACTCGGCGAGTAGAATAAAGATGGAGGCGAACTTGACGAGTTGGATGAACAACTCGGCGAGTCGGTTGAAGATTTGCCTTGGACTTGGCGAGTCTGCTCTTGGACTCGGCGAGTCAAGTCGCGAACCCCAAACCCTTCGAGTCAAGGCTCAGTTTAGCGAGTTGAGTGGGGACTCGGTGAGTTGGACAGGTCAGAACTCGGAAATCAGTGAACTCGGCGAGTCAGTAGACTGACTCGGCGAGTAGGGTCAACATGGAAGCTTGACTTTGGCCAGGACTTTGACTTTGATCGGAGTTGAGTTAGTTGAATTTTAGAGGTCTGACAGGCTAAGTGTTTCTTTGTTATTGGTAGCTCGGAGAGTTAGAGGAGCAGCGTTTCAGACGGTGGTTGGTTAGCAGTCCGAGGGTTACCAACATAATTCAGCAGTTCAGGTGAGTTTCCTTCCAGTAGGAATGGGTCTAAGGCCACAATGCCGGCCCGTTCAGTTAGCAGTAGTTTCTGGACTTCAGTCCGATGCAGTAGTTAGTATGTCTGATGCCTTCGTGGCTCAGACAGGATTTATGTGTTATGTGTTATGTGTTATGTGTTCCGGGCAACGGCCCGATGCAGTATGCAATATATGTGTTTATGCTAGTTGATATGTTATGCTATGCTATGTTCAGTCAGTTTCCGGACTTTGGTCCGATGCAGGGGGCAAGGCCCCAGTTAGTCCGGACTTCGGTCCGATGCAGGGGACAAGGTCCCAGTCAGTTTCCAGACTTCGGTCTGATGCATGGGACAAGGCCCCAGTTAGTCCGGACTTCGGTCCGATGCAGGGGACAAGGTCCCAGTCAGTTTCCGGACTTCGGTCCGATGCAGGGGGCAAGGCCCCAGTTAGTCCGGACCTCGGTCCGATGCAGTGGGCAAGGCCCAGTATGTGCTTTATATGTTATTGTATGGTATGTGGTAGTTTGGGGGAGCTCACTAAGCTTCGTGCTTACAGTTTAGTTTTTGGTTTCAGGTACTCAGTTTTCAAAAGAGGAGCTCGGAAAGATTGCAGTGCACACACCATAGTCAGCTAGTATGGGATGTTCTACTCTGATAATAAGTTGTATTTCGAATTAATGCTACGAAATTATGTTATGATTTATGTTACAGTTTTTATGAATATGGTTTTTAGTAATGTTTTAAAAAGAAAATTTTAGTTGTGATTTTTGGGATGTTACATATGCGTTCTCAACCTTTTAGGTTTTCTCATTTGATCATCTCTCTCTCTCTCTCTCTCTCTCTCTCTCTCTCTCTATATATATATATATATATATATATATATATATATATATATATATATATATATATATATACATGCCCTTAAAAAGGGTGTATCAAAGTTGTTTTTTTTTTCTTAAACAACCTTTCTTATAGTTCATTATTTTGCACGACGAAAGTGTATCAAAGTTGTTTTTTTAATAATAAACTTTTTATGTTAACAAACTAGGTTATAACACGTGAAAATCACGGTTAGTATATTTAAAATTTTTATATATAGATAAAAAAATAATAAATGTCAAAATAAACCAAGATCTTATCGATTGTAAGTAATTATAAATTAATTTGTTAAGCAAAATAAACATAATAATATTATTAGGATATGATTTTGTATTTTCAAATTTTGAATTGAATTTGATTTGTTACCAAAAAAAGAAAATAATAAAAATCATAGAAAAATATCGCGTGTCAAAGAAACATTCTAAAAAACTGATATGTATCATTTTTAGATTTCATTTATTAAAGAGATAGATAAACTTTTTTATGTTAGCAAACTAGGTTATAACCTGTGGAAACCACAGTCGGTATATTTAAAAATATATATAGATAAAAATAGTAATAAATGTCAAAATCCGGCTCCAACCCTTCATAGAATATTTAAAAATTCTAGAAAATGCCATGTGTCCAAATGAATGAAAAGAGGACATGTGGCAAAAAAACCTTTATTTATTATAGTAGATTCGGTTTCATAATCCAAATCCGGCTCCAACCCGGTTCAAAACCCTAAATCTAGTTGAAAACAATTATAAATCCGATTAACCGCATCGTACTCGTAACCAAACCATAACCGATTTCCTTATACGGGTCGAGTTCCATAAATAATCAAATTACAGGTTTGTCGGGTGGATCGGGATCCATTTAATCTCAAACAATCACGCTGCTAATAACAATTAACCGCAGATAGAAAACGACTTCCATCGTCTTCTCTATCGATGCTCTCACCTTCGATCCCAAATTGCTGCTACTGCATACACTGTAACCCTCAATCAACCAACTACCTCCTGTAATTTCTATCGAATACGCTGCTACATCATCGACAGCCGCCGCATATGCTTTTAACCCGCATCTAATTTAACCCTCACATCCAGGAACTGCTGCGATTTCTTTCCTCTGCGCGCTCTATCGATACCAGGTTAGTTCCTTCACTTTTCTTTTTGTTGATTTCACGATAAAAGTTCTTTCACATTGCTCTGTTACTCTACGTAGTCTACTCGTTCTCTGCTAGAAAGACCAAAATTGAATCCCAACATAAACAACCTATTTAAGAATCCAAGTTGATTGTGTGAGAATATCTTATAAAGGACATCTAAAGTTACCAAGTCAATTCACCTGTTATTCAGTAGATAAAGGATGCAAATTATCTCATGGTAGTGCAATGTGAAAAAAAAAAAATCATTCTTTATCTTATGTTATAGTTCAGAAATCCTTGGAGTTTGGCTAATTGTAAAAATAAACTATGTTGCCTGTTATAAACTATTATTTTGCTACTGTGATTCCTATTTTCAGTCGACAAGGTATGCAAATATCTACACTTCTCATTGTTGTTGATTATATTCCATTTCATGGCTACTATTAGATCACATAATTGACATTTCTATTGACAATAAGCTCTAAAGCTAGTTTGTGATTTAGCATTCTTACCATATTTGAATCCAGAACTTCACCTTTTTATCTACTTCAAAATGTCCATTTTTATTTATTAGATAAATGCGATTATAATGGTTTTATACCTTAAACTTTTTTTGAAATTAAAATGATTTAAACCCTAAACCACGTGGCTTCACAAGATCCACTGTAAGTTAGTGTTATGGAAGACGTTGCATTAGTTCACGAATTAAGAAGATAGAAGCTTTTTAGTGCAAGTTTGGGGACTTCTTCAATATGTCCAAAGTAGTCATGTAGTTAATTAGTTGTTATTTGTTTCATGATTTTGAATAATATGTTGAAGGTGGGAAATTTCATGAACAAGCTGTTTTGCATGTTAGAATTAATAGATTATTTGCCTATGTTTTGATCTTTGAGAACTAGATACATTATATATTTCAAGAAAATAGATTTTAAAAATAATTTACAACAAAAAGTTAATAAAGGGTAATTGTGTCATTTGTCCGAAGTTAGTATTTACATTGCAAATCCGGTAAAAGAGTTACAAACCAAACAGAAACATATCATAGAATTGAATTCCCTTGACATACTCCAATTCCTTTAACAGATTCCAAATCCTTTTAAACTATTTTATATATATATATATATATATATATATATATATATATATATATATATATATATATATATTATATATATAATTTTTATTTTATTTATGTAGGAGACTATAGTAGATGGAGTGGTTTCTGATATTTGTATCTGTAGCTGTTGTATGGTTGGCTTCTCTCTGCAAAATTCTCCATTCATCATTCTATCCACACCAATCTTCCTTCTTAAATAATAATAATAATAATAATGGTTAGTAATATATAATATTTATAATATGTCATTTATTTTTATATGTAATTATGTTGGTGTTAATGTTAATATCTTTTGTCTGAATGTATCAATCAGCTGGATCTATTCAGAAGAAAAATGTATTGTTTGTCATTGCACACCCTGATGATGAATCCATGTAATACTTTTATTTCTTTCCAATGTTTTTCTTATTATTTGAAAAATCTACCCAATTATAGCATTTGTACTTTTAATTTTGTTTTCTTATTGATTGTAATTGGCAGGTTTTTTTCTCCAACAATTAATCATCTGACTTCAAGAGGGCATAACATTCACATATTGTGCATGTCAACTGGTAACAATTTCTTAATTTTACTTTTTTTTTTTTTACATTACATAAATTGAGCTTTAGTTGTAAATTAATAAAGATCTATTGTTCAACTGTGAACGTAAATCTTACATACAAGTTTCATGTATTTGTTTTTCTTTTTGCCTAAGTGATAAATTTAGCAACTTTATTTCATCACTATTTGAAGCACAGTTTTTTCATATCACTATTTTATATAAAAATAAACCTTAGTGAAATAAAATTTGTGCTATTTGATTGTAGGTAATGCAGATGGTATTGGAGATGTTAGAAAAGAAGAGCTTTATAAGGCTTCTGTAATCCTTAAGGTGATATAAATATAATCTGCTTGATTCTTTATTATTTTCTTTTGGGAATTTTATGAGCTTTAAATATGTTTAAATTTTAACCTTTTGTAGATAAAAAGATTAATACTTTCTACTAAATAATGTATAATGTATAAAGCTACACATTGTATTTGATCATGCAGGTTCCTCTTCAACAAGTGACAACAATTGATCATCCAGATTTTCAGGTTTTTTTTTTTTCATCTGAAAAATCATTATATGTTGTTTATATTAAATACATGAATAATATATATTTGTGTTTTTTTTATACAAGGATGGTTTTGGTAAAGTATGGAATAGTAGTAAACTATCAAAGATTTTGGAAAAGAAAATTCTTGCTCATGCAATTGACATGGTAAGATATAAAAATACTAAAATTTAGTATTTTTATGTTATAAGATTATGTATTTTGATAAATTGTTTTTTCTTTTAATTTTTTCCAGATTATTACCTTTGATAATTATGGTGTTTCGGGTCATTGTAATCACCGCGATGTACACCAAGGAGTACGGTAAGTGAAAGTCCTTTTTTTTTAATAAAAAAAGTTACATTTTTCATGATAAATTATAAGAATAAAAATTTTAAATTAATTGTTTTCTTTCTCTTTTATCAGAAGGTTTACACTTGATACTTCAGAAAAAGACATTGAAGCATGGGAACTGGTATGTTCTTATTTCCTGTATGGAATTAGTAAGGAACGGAATGGAATGAGTGACTCCATTCCATGATATGTTTTTTTTTCAGGTGAGTAGTAACATAGTACGAAAGTACAGTGGGCCCATTGATATATGGTTGTCTTTTTGGACTCTGAAAGGAGAAATGCATTGTTTGGTAAATGAACATCCACTTAGAAGCTATGCTGCCATGTCACAGCACCTAAGTCAATGGGTATGGTATGTATCATCATCATCATCATCATCATCTCCCACCTTAATGTCCTATCTGTCACAACAGAAGAAAACAGATTGTACTGTGTTTGACAGATATTGAACTGGGACTGATGTTGATGGGACAAACATTAAAGTTTTTTGTCCCACCCAAAAAAGTGGAACGAGTAGGTCACGGACTCACACTCGATCTCTTGTCTGTATAAAAGACGAAAATGCCCTTCTCATCCTCTTCATCGAAAATCGCCTAAAAAGCTTGTCCAGTCCCATACATCCTTGTCGCTTGTAACAAACGCGGGCCGCGTTTGTTACATGTGGCATGATGGGACGGGGCAAGCTTTTTAAAGCTATTTTCGATGATGATGATGATGAGAAGGGCATTTTCGTCTTTTATACAGACAAGAGATCGAGAATGAGTCCTGTCCCACTGACATTGGTTCCTGTCTTCCAATTCATGTCAAGCTCAGTATAAGATTGTTTTGTATATTGTAGTCCTGTTTTATTCAATAATAATAATAATAATAATACAATTTTTGAGGTCAAAAAAAAATTGTAAAATTTTCAAAGTTGATTTTGGATTTTTATTAGATGTTTAATACCATTATTTTCAGGTTTCGGAAACTTTTTGTTTCATTTTCTAGTTATACGTATGTCAACACTTTGAGGAAGATCAACAAATGAGTAAAGGATCAAGTTCTATGGTGTACTTCAAAAGTTACATTTGATTTATTTATTTTTTTATTGTTTTTAGGAAATTAAAAATTTCTCTATAGGTTCATTCTCATTCGATTTGTACAATGTAGTTATGTGACATGATAGGATATAATTCTTCACATGTATTTTTAAGATTATCTCTATAGCTTCAAACCTAATATGATCATAGTTCATTTTAATGAATCTTTTTAATCATTGTATTCATGGATAATGCTTTGCTTGTATGTTTAAAATAACAAACATCGTTTATCAAATTATTATTCCCCCATGATCACCTTATCATAACTGACTTGCACGTTTAAATCACTATCAGAAACTTGAATGTTCATGCTCCACATTGACAACAATTTTGTAAAATAAATTTGTTCTTCAAGATCATCTTAGCTTTTGGTTCCAAGTATTCACGATCAATGTTGAAACCCTTCTCTTTAGGTTAATATGGTAAATGGTTGTAAAAAGACTAAAATGTCCTCATGTAGAGGATGAGAGAGGTTCAGGAAGAAGGAGAGTGTCAAGTGTTATGAGGACTAAAATTGCAATGTTTTCCATAGTTTGATGGAAAGCGCATTAAAAGAAACATTAGGGACCAAACATGTAATTTTGTATTCTTTATTTTGAAAATATACAATACAGTCGCTAAATTGAAACATGGACATAGTTGAGGGACTAATTTAGAAATTTTGGTGACAAATGAGAGGGATTCACTCTTCATTGCGTTCCTCTTCACGAAGCAAATACAGCCCTGGCCATGGTGAAGATAGCTTCAGCTTCAGCTTCTGCTGAAACCTCTCCAAAAACTGCTCATAGGTATTCTTCAAATTCATAATTTCAATCGACCTAAACCTAGCGATTTCAAACTCCAAATTGAAAATGAATGTTTTAGTTTAACACATTCGCTTTAGTTTCTCTCCTACAACTGTAAAAGAATTACAGATACAGTCGATTTTGAAGTCAAGAGTATTATGGATTTCAGTCATTGATGGATACCTAAATCGTAACTCGTTTTCAATTTTCCAGGAAAACGGCGTTGAGACCAAAATCGTCGGTGGCCGTGAAACAAAACAGTGCAGCGAAGAGGCCGAAGACGACGGCGGCGGCGGCTAAGAAGAAAGCATCCAAATTAGATGCTAATAAACCCAAAAAACCTCCCACTGCGTTCTTCTATTTCTTGTATGTCTTCTCTTAGTTCTACGATTTGATCTCCTGCATATATGTGCGTTTCTTACTTTTGATATTCAAATTGAATTGAATATAGAGCTTCATAAAATATTGGGGAAAAGCTACATGAACATAGATTAGCAATTTGGTGGAATATGTAATTTGCATTCATAGCCTGTGTAAAAGATATGAAATCTCTCCTCCTCCTCCTCCTCATGATGATGATCATCATCATTGAAAACAGCCCTAAATATCTTGTATAGTCTCTCACCATTTAGGGTTACATAACATAAACAATTGATGTTTTTCTTGAATTATTTAAGGGAGGATTTTCGTAAAGAATTCCAAGAGCAGAATCCAGATGTCAAATCAATGCGTGAGGTGTGCACTATCTATATAACTTATATCTTATCCTTCTTCATGATTCATGCACCTTCTTTTCTTCATAAAAATATATGATTTGTGTTCTTCATTTTCCATCTTCCAGGTTGGCAAAGCATGTGGAGAGAAATGGAAGATCATGACTTATGAGGTTTGTAGTTTGTACTTTGTCTTAACTATTAAGTCATTCTTTCTGCATTAAGTCAAAAAGAATATTAAAACTTAAATGTTGTGATAGGAGAAAGTTCAGTATTATGATGTAGCAACTGAGAAAAGAGCAGAGTTTGAGAAAGCTATGGCTTGCTATCACCAAAAAAAGGTAACTTTTTTATTTAATGTTTTTCTGTTAATCTAAACAATTATAGCATTGTATTTTCAACAAATCAGTTGAAGTAGAAGTATGATATTATTTTTTGCATTTTACTCTTTCAAAATGTAATGTTGTAGTATGAACAAATTTCAGGAAAGTGGAGAATATGATGAGTTTGATGAAGACTCGGATTTTGATGAATGAATAAGTTTGCATTTGATGTATGACATAGGAACAATGGTAGTAGTGATGGATATTTTGTATAGTGAATATCAAAATTCAAAACATGTTTTTTTGAAACTGATTTTATGTAAATCATTTCAATTCATCTTTTTGGAAAAGTTACAAATATCGTCCTTGTGGTTTATTGGTTTTTATGTGTATGGTCCTTATGTTACATTGGTTGTCGTTTTTGTCCCCAAAATGATTCTTATGTAAATGGTTTATTGTATTTTTTTTATATTGTTTTACATTCGTATTAGTGGTAATGTTTTTATGCAACTTTATTTAAATTACTAAGGTTAAAGGCAAATTTAAAATGTATTTTTCAGTTTGTTCAACATAGGTCCTTAAAACCTTTTTTTACATAGAAAACATACTGTTAGAAATTGTTAAACTTTAATTTGGCTCATCGGTTTTGTGCTATATGTTGATTTTTAATAAATACAAATGTTTTTTTTATGGTGTTTTATTTTTATGCCCATATTATTGTTATGGATATTTGATTGAATATAGAAAGTAATGATTTTGCTAAATGCAGCTTGCCTGTGAGAGCTTTGGGAGGCAAATTGTAGGAAATAGCATCCAGACATGCGGTTGTCTACTGTAATTATTTCTACATTTTATTGACTTCGAAAAGTGGATAATTTCTAAATAAATGAGCAAATTACAGGAACTATTTATGTAAGTTATGGCAAAACTTCTAGAATGAACGGTAACTCTTGACCACAATTGTATGAAACAATAAGACATGGACCAAAAATGACAACTCAAAAAATATTGTGACCAAATTGTGAAGTGTCAAATACGGACTATTCATATTTCATAATTACTACATAAATTAATATAATTATATAATTAGATAAAAGATGTTTCTGAAAACAACTCAAAACAGAAGACTGTAATTTTATAAGGAAAAAGGAGCAATTAATTGTAGGGTAAATTACAAGGATGGTATATATAGTTTATGGTTATCTTAATGTTTTGGTATCTAATAATTTTTTTTTAATTCGGATCATCCATATCCTAACATACTATTATTTCTATAATAACGTATACTTTTAAAATAAAATAGTAAAATACTATTATTCCTGTAATAACATATTTTATTTTAAAAATATAAGTATGTAATTTTGAGTTAAAGATAAAAATATATTCCGGTTTTGATTTCATAATATAAGTACAATAAATTTTATATTGCTTTGATATAAAATTTTGATATTTAATTTTAAAAAAATATTTAGTTTTATCAAATTTTAATTATATTTCTTAATAAGAAAAAAACATTTCAAATCAAAACTAAAAAATGTCTATTAGTTAATAATTAAGTTCGCTGCTACACATGCTAAAATAAATAATTATATGAATAATATGACATTAAATTCTCTTTAATACATTTTATTTAATGAAAAATATTTTTTTAACGCAATTAATGTCATATTATTTTTGTTTAATTCCATTTCATATAACATTAATTATGTTTAACTCATTATACATATATATATATATATATATATATATATATATATAATATTTTTATTTTCTATAATAACATATTTTTTATAATAACACATCATGTTTTTATCATAAAAATAAATATATCACTATAAGATAAATGAAGACAAACCTTAAAAATTACATCACATAAAAATTAAAAAGTAATAAAATGATGTTTTTACGCTTTAATTCCACTGCATCAGACCGAAGTCTAGAACTGACTAGGGTCTCGCCCTCTACATTAGACCGGAGCCCATAACTGACTAGGGCCTTGCCCACTGCATCGAACCGAAGTCTGGAACTAACCAGGGCCTTGCCCACTGCATCGGACCGAAGTCCGGAACTAACTAGGGCCTTGCCCACTGCATCGGACCGAAGTTCGGAACTAACTAGGGCCTTGACCACTGCATCGGACCGGAGTCCGGAACTGACTGAACATATCATAACATATAACACTAACACATATATTGCATACTGCATCGGACCACGGCCCGAAACACATAACACCTAGACATGCCTGAATCACAAAGACATCAAACATATTGAGCTATTGTTATCTAAATGGGCCGACATTGTGGCCGTAGACCCGTTCCTACTGGAAGGAAACTTACCTCACACTGCGGGAGTCCCGCTGAAAAAACCATAGTTGTTGGATGACAGATTTCCGGTCTGTCAATATCAAAATAACACCCAATTAATAATTGGGTCCCAACGTGTATACCCATAAGTCCATGCTTGGGGTAAAAGACTACTTTACCCAATCCAAAGGCCCAAAAGTCTAATAATGGACCAAGGACCAACTATGGCCCATCTATGGCCCAATTTTCCCAATTGGGCCCAAGTCACTACATGGTCTTGATCAAAGGCCCAATCATTCATTCTTGGTCCAACACTTGACATTCTCATAGTCAAATATCTCATAATCATCAAGGCCCAGATTATGGCCCATCTATAGCCCAATAGGCCCAAAATTAATCTTTAATCCCATTAGGGTTTTGGCTAGGTCCATTAGAGTTTTGCTAGTAGGGCATCACCCACTACCACCTCAGGTAGTGGTGGTCAACAACGGCTCATGGCGGCGGCGGCCACCTCATGGTGGTGGTTATGGTTCTTTTCATTGTTCTTTTTGCTAATTATAATTACAATGCTTAATCTCAAGTAACACACACACCACACTAAGCTAAACATACACACACACGCTAAACTAACCACACACACACACAACCACTCAAGTGGTGCCGATGGTTATGATCTTGGGCCAACGCAACACCAAAAGTACTTCAATCTTCAATCTAAACGTACCCGAAAGCCCACAGCCACCCGATATGGTGGCCAACGGTGGCGGAATGGCGGCAGCAGTTGGTGGAATGGGTTTTCTTCATTTTCCTATCCAAGAATATCAATACAATATTAGATCACGGACTAGGCCTGCACATACACTAAATCACGCACACAGCCACCCTCCCACGGTGGCATGTGGCGGCAAAAGAGATGGCATCCACCACCTCACGGTGATGGCGGTTGCTTTCCATCCAAAATATTGATCATCCAACCCCAAGGATACATTAACAAGCAAAAATACTTAAGTATGCAAACATTCGCCCACCTTCTAAGCGGTTGACGTCGCCAGATAAGTGAAAACAGCGGCCAAGAAAGAAGCATCTTGGGTAGCAATGACTTACATGAGGCCACATCCTTCGGAAAGGATCGAGAGTGTGAGGTGCGACTGATATTACCGTGAGTCTCCGGCTCGCACACCTGTCGTGCGACCCAGTTCACGAATTCACCCACCGGTCTTCAGCGACTCCAAGGTTGCACGCATTATTGCCAACATCAGGGTTGTTGGGGTGGCGTTCCACTGGCGAGATAGCCGCTTGGCCGCCTCATCTGATCGGAAAATGAACGAGAACGAGGTGACGGTTGTGAGTCTCCCATGAGGATGGTGGTTGTTGAAACGTGTCCTTATGGTTAGGGTTACTCGACTTCTTTTCATGAAGCAGGAAAAATGAGCAGCGGATCTTAACCTGTGTCCCATCCAAACATTTGACTATTTGACAATACTAGTCCCTCTTCCCATAATCTTTTTCAATTTCACTCCGGAATTTACCTGTAACACCCAAAGTTTGGAAAGCCAAGAAAAGAAAGAAAACCCCAATTTTAAGGGGAAACTCGGTGAGTCCAAGGAGGGACTCAGCGAGTCCGAGCGGGATCCGGGTCGAGGAGTAAGCGACCGACTCGGCGAGTCTGGTCTGAACAAGGAAAACCCTAAAATCGGGACTTGGAGCCTATTTAAACGCCTCATTCTCTTCCCTAAGGTTCCTTTACTGCCTCTTTCACCCAGGACCTCAAGCCCTAGCCGTTACATCCATTGATTAAGCCATTTATTGACTTGGAAGGTGCATTCAAGCTTGAAGGAGGAAGAAAGAGCTTGGAGGAGCAAGAAAGGACTATAGATCTGGGATTGTGAGTTCATTCTGAGCATTTGGAGGTAATAAACTAGTTCTTGGACCCCTCTTTGCACTTAGATCTATGTGTTATTGTTGGACTTTTTAGCCATGATGTTATTCTTTCAAGTTAGAAGCCAGTTCTGAAGTTGCTACTTCAGATCTAAGCATGTGATGGTCTTGAGAAGCACAAAGTATCAGCCCTTGAGTGGATCATGAAGCCTCTTTGCCTTAAACCCTAGTTCTTGGTGTATTTTGCCTAGATCTCCTTCTCTACACGTAAAGTTTGCAACTTTACGTGAGGAATAGGCTTGGAAAGGGTAGATTTACAGTTTGGAGTCCATGCATGACTCAATAGCCATCTGCATGTAGAGGGATTTGAATGGACTCGGCGAGTCCTTTGAGTGGACTCGGCGAGTAGCATGAAGTAGTGGAGCAACTCGACGAGTGGGATGAACAGCTCGTCGAGTCAGATGAAGATTGCCTTGTACTCGGCGAGTCAGGTTGCGAAACCCCAAACCCTTCGATTCAAGGCCCAGATTAGTGAGTGGAGTGGGGACTCAGTGAGTTGGACAGGACAGAACTCATAAATCAGTGAACTCGGCAAGTCAATAGGCTGACTCGGCGAGTAGGGTCAACATGGAAGGTTGACTTTATCCAGAACTTTGAATTTGATCAGAGTTTAGTTAGTTAACTTTTAGAGGACTGTCAGGCTAAGTGTCGCTTTGTTATTGGTAGCTCAGAGAGTTAGAGGAGCAGCGTTTCAGACAGTGGTTGGTTAGCAGTCCGAGGGTTACCAGCAGAATTCAGCAGTTCAGGTGAGTTTCCTTCCAGTAGGAACGGGTCTAAGGCCACAATGCCGGCCCGTTCAGTTAGCAGTTAGTTTTCGAACTTCGGTCCGATGCAGTAGTTAGTATGTTTGATGCCTTCGTGGCTTAGACAGAATTATGTGTTATGTGTTATGTGTTCCGGGCTACGACCCGATGCAGTATGAAGTATATGTGTTCATGCTAGTTGATATGTTATGCTATGCTATGTTCAGTCAGTTTCCGGACTTTGGTCTGATGCAGGGGGCAAAGCCCCAGTTAGTCCGAACATCGGTCTGATGCAGGGTACAAGGTCCCAGTCAGTTTCCGGACTTCGGTCCGATGCAGGGGCAAGGCCCCAGTTAGTTCGGACTTCGGTCGATGCAGGGGACAAGGTCCCAGTCAGTTTCCGGACTTCGGTCCGATGCAGGGGGCAAGGCCCCAGTTAGTCCAGACCTCGGTCCGATGCAGTGGGAAAGGCCCAGTATGTGCTTTATATGTTTGTATGGTATGTGGTAGTTTGGGGGAGCTCACTAAGCTTCGTGCTTACAGTT